ACGTCGCGGAAGTCGGTGGGCTGGCATGCGTAACACGTGGCTGAGTCATCGGAGCCTGGTGCGTGAAATAACGGTGCTAAGCGGTTCATTTCCTTTTCCTGTGCCATAAACAAGGCGTCGAACACGCTCGTTACTCATGCGGTGTTCCCACCAAATGTGAGCTAAATTGGGAAGGCACCGGTGGTCGAACGTAACTAGCCTCTTCAGGTCCGCTGCTTTAATCGGTCAGGTTTCACAACCGTCGACACCAGTGGCGTGTCTGCTGCGGTCTCTTAGTCGGACTGTCTGTTTACTCTGTGTGCTGCTGAGTTATTTGCTAGGCAATGGCTGATCAGAACGCGATGGAGTGAAAGCCACGAGGAAGCTATCTAGCTGATCCTGCTTTATTTTTACATAGTAGCCATGTATCTCTGACGGTGTGTTGTTGACGCCGAAGTTTTGCCAACGGCATTAATGTTTTCCGTCCCCTTCTGTCCTTATCATCATTCTTCGTTCCGTAGGTTGTTGTAGTTCTAAAGCAGCGAAGCATCAATTTAAACGGCTGATATAGTGCTGTTGTTAATGGTGAAGACGAATTTTATACTTAGAATACAACTAGTAAAATCGCACTATTACGTTGTAAACTCCTCCACAGATGCCGTCTGTTAGCTTGGACTTCTCGAGTATTTGCTATACGGTCAGAGACCTCATATTTTGTTCCACGTGAGCTAGTAAATCTGGATAGAAACTTAAATTTTGGAGCTATTTCCAAATGATCACCGCCACGGTTCAGCGCATGGAAGTGTCCCAGCGAACCTTGCAGTACTTGGCATTACGGGAGCAAAAGCATGTCCCGCAAACTTTGACAGTCAGAGCTAATTTGTCCAGTGCTGCTTGACAGTGTTGGGAACTGTCACGGATAAGGGAAATGGCGTCGGCATTATTCAAGTTAAGGATGTGCTCATCCGGAATAAGATCCACACCTAAAGTTTCATTACAATTCAACGCTGTGTCCATGAATTCGTCACAGGACAGGTCCGAAAATAGGTCACAGTGGGCAACCATCTCAATGCGCGGTCAAGCTTAGTTTAAGTAGTGTGCGTAAGCGCTGAATTGGAACATGGAAGCAAAATAGATCATTAAATGCAACGACCTGTTGTTTAACTTAACCAGTCCTTCAAGTTTTGCCATCTTTACCGAAGATCCTTAGCATGCAGCAATGTGAGGGAGGGAAGGGTAAACGGTACAAGAAGTATGCAAACTGATGGAATAGGATCACACGGCATGGCACTGGATTTCCCCTGATTATTCGACGGAAGGTAAATTCGGACACACTGTATTCAAAAAATGTACTGGACCGAGGTTACACCTGTGCGTCAGGTAGCCTAAAGCCACCTTAAGTGAAATGGACGTTTTGAGTTCTAAGCTTCCTGGTATACCAGTGGCTGCTTTGCAGCACGCAGGCGCTCACTCTCGTTTGTTTATTCAGCAGTTATCCACATCTTACATACCTTCAGGAACTTGCATGATGCATATTTACTATAGTACAACAGTGGAAAACTTCAAATGCCTGTCCAAATTATGTGTGGATACAAATGTGGTCTCATACTAACAATACCTTTCTTTCATCCCACTACACGGACTGGCATAATATGCCACACTAACGCTGCCACTGTTGCCCAGTATACGGATAAATCGACCAGCTGTCCGGTGTTGAGATTTACGGTAGTGAACCAACTGGCGTTAGACCATCAGCTCGTGTAGTTCTGTTCAGCGCCGATTGATGTTTACCACCGGATTGCGTTGCAACTGATTGGCAGCAAATCTAAAAACGATATGTCACCAAACTCACTTCGCAATCTGAGTCCGCACACATACCAGCTGTTGTTTGCCACCCTTTTTGCTATACTATCCGACAAAAAGAAGGAAAACACAACAATTCACTTTTACTCATACTCGCTCAACGTTCCGCATCCACCTTCAATCTGAAACAACAAACGGCTCTTATGCGTCGCCTCTTCACATACCCGTTCACCTCTTCTACGCTGCTCACTTCATTGTAGACTGCGATTGCCCCTAGATCGGTACTTCCCTTGGTGGGAGTCACCTCATTTGGACATGGGTTATCTTCACCTACACTTGTTCCTGCAATATCGGGTGCAGATGAGATTTGTGCATTTGCCTATACACATTTCAACTCAGCCACGTACACGAGCGTCCACTTTTGCTAATTATTGGTTAGTGCTTAACTGTGATGATATTGCCCTGATCTGTGACAGCTCACAAACGTGCCAAGCGGCACTGGACAGATTAGTACTAGCTGTCCGTCACTTCGGGCTTTGTTTCGCACCCTCGAAGTGCAAAGCTTTTCTCCAAGATTGGTCTGGACCTCCTCCTTCGCTGATCCTTGGTGGGGATCAGCTAGAAGTCGTTCAAAAATTCAACTACCTGGGAACTTGTATCAGCACCCGTGGGATTAAAGATGAAAGCACGAATCGTATAGCAAAAGCTCGTGGCACTTTTGCTAACCTTCGCCACTTATGGCGCCGGCGCGACATCACTCTCACCCTGAAGGGTAGAGTGTACAATGCAGCAGTACGTTCGACCCTACTGTACGGTTGTGAAACCTGGCCACTTAAAGCAGCGGACCTGAAGAGGCTAATTACGTTCGACCACAGGTGCCTTCGTAATTTAGCTCACATCTGGTGGGAACACCGCGTGAGCAACGAGCGTGTTTGACGCCTTGTTTATGGCACAGGAAAAGAACAGAACCGCTCAGCACCGTTATTTCACGCACCAGGCTCCGATGACTCGGCCATGTCTTACGCATGCTAGCCCACCGACTCCCGCGAGTATGTTGTTTGCGCGCCGGGGGTGTGGATGGAAGAAGATGAGGGGTGGCCAAGTGATGATTTGGTCTAGAGGAATGAAGGCCCTCACTTCTGAGCTGGCCTCGGTTGGAACGTCTCGGCTCCCTGGTTGCGGTCGCACTGAAGATGAACACGTTTGGTTGGACACACTTGCTGATATGGCAAGGAGCCGGCCTCAGTGGCGTTCGTGCTGTGAGTTTCTTTGTTCCACCCCATCGCTCTTAGCCTCCCCCTCCAACCACGATCTCACTATTTAGCCTTATATAATTTTGCATAGTCTTTTTTTTGATGCACAGTAGCCGGCTAGTAGCTTACCGGAACGATGCCTATCCGTTTCCGGTAGCTCAGCCAGCTTGCACCAGTTGCTTTTTTTCCCTCCATTTTCTATGTATTGCGGCACAGTAGCTGAGGTGTTTCCCACCTCTATCTAACGTGTATGCTGAGGATGATGATGCTGCTTAACTGTGACATGGTGTATTGTTGATGGCCCTAATTGGGCTCATCGGCTGAATACCTTATAAAGCTGTTAACAAATAATGTCAAACTCACGAATTCTTGATCAGTGTGATCAAAATCCATTAAACGGGGCAGTCGGTTTCTCGGTTACAAAGTGGGGTTCATTTCATTACCGTCCCGGTGATCTTTTCCCTGTGACCCTGGTTGTTTTCACTAGAAGATGCATGTCCCCTGTATGAAGCCGCCTACTTTTCAGATCAGTTTATAAACTTGAGGTCAATTGGATGTATGTAAAATTTGTTCTCAGTAGGTCCAATGCTTTGTCTGCGTTCCCACGTTCGTGTGGCGCTTTAAATATCATTTTTACTCCCAAACACTTTTTGATGCCCCTAGCAATGGTAACGTCACAGATCACCAAAAAATATCTCGGCATCAGCGAGAGCACTCCGAATCCCGAATTAAATGCTACTGTCATGTGAAGCTGCTCGGTATCCATACGACTCTGCCGAGGAATTATGAGAAACAGAAGCAAGTTCTGTGCTGTCACACTAGCAACTTAGTGAATTGTTTGTTGATGGACATCATTCAATCCAAATTGGTATGTTTGCTTATGGTTTTGGGTTTTGTGGCAATGCGATTTACCATGGTTCTATAACAGAATTACTCCTTAGTCGACTGCAAGCGCTTCGAAATTTCATAGGTTTGACATTTCATTCCTTCGGCAACCGTATTAAACCTACCAATATACAAAGCTGCCGAAACTAAACTAGAGGAATTCAGCTTATATTACCCTATAACTTGCATATAATCGAGAAAACTGTATTATACTCATAAATTTTCAGTACCACAATACAATCGGGGTATTTTGTGTGGAACGTTACCTTTGAGAGTGGCTTATCAAGTCATTTACCGTGAACTGATGTGTTGGATACTTGTGTCGATCACTACGGCTGCCGTGGTCGTTTTGCTCTTACGGCTAACGTGTTGAAGCAGATGCGTTGCTGTTGTTCTTTGCGTTGTGCGAGTAAGTTGCTGTTACCAAGTTATCCAGCTGTGCAAGATTCGAAGCGCCGCGTCCTGTAATGTGAATGACACTTAATTCACATAGGCGCATGTGTTGCGTACCGCTGAAGTTTCTTAAATCATAAAGAGAAGGTGGAGTACTTCACAGGAACCATGAGCTCATGAGGCTAGTCATTGTCTTGTTGTCCTCTGAAAAGCAAGAAGACCGGACCGCGATCACGAAGTCGTTTATTAAGATTACACTCAAACATTTATAGATTATATACACTATTTACAACAGTCCGTCTCAATGGCTCATCCCTGTTATTTGCATTGTGTCGCTTGCTGCATTATGTTTGCTCGTCACGTTCACTCTTTTTTTAAAATCACCTTGCCTTTCTTAGTCGATGTACGATTGCGGGACTGGGCCCGCGAGCTGTTTCCCTCGCTCCAGTGACACAAGCCTTGGCTCAATGGTGCACGAGTATACGCTCCTTCACGTACAGGTGCCTGATTGATCACTTGCACGTTCAGTGGATGGTTGCAGGCTGGAGGCGATCACGGGCCAACTATTTTTTGATTGGCTGACAAATCTGCTTCCAGCAACATGCTCACGCCTTATCACTCTGGCCTTTGACGTCCGATCGGTATGACAGCTTTTCCAATCATCAGCATTTCCAGTCCTCCTCACAGTCATACTGAGCTCAATGTATGTGATTATACCCTACTAGATTATTTTTCAGAGGCTATTATAATAAACCAATCCTTTACCACTGTTTACTTCTTAGCTTTAAGTCCTCGCTTCTTACTTTGATTTTTATGGGCCTTGGGTAGGATAGGATCCCATTTATTTAGGTTTACGTGGGCAACAGAAATATTTACTATCAATGAGTTACAACCTCAACCTTACTCCATCTCCCGCCTAAAGCTAGCACGTATCTCCATGCCTGATTCTTCGTTGCGCAAGTTTACTTAACTGTGCTTTATTGTGTAGTGGGGTATTTTGTTCACGGTTTTGTTGACACAGAAAGCTACTGGTAGCAAGAATCACCATTTCGTTTTTGTATGCAGATAGATATATTAAAATGAATCCAGTATGGCATCTTCACAAAAGTAGCATATGCACCCGCTATAATCGTATGTATAAACCCACCTCATTCGCTGTCTACACTGTGGTGCAAAATCTACTATGCGAAACTTTCCATTTCCACATCAGGTGCATTCCCAACCTACAAACGGCAAACGAGCCCACGTCGCCATGTAAACTGAACTCGTATTCACCTGCATTCTTTGTTCTAATTGACCAGCCGATTCAGTGATCAGTTATCATTCGACTTGGTGCGATGATGGTGTATGTGACTCAAGTGTGACCGTGTCCGCTGAGGATTCGGATGTGATCAGTAAGCATCCTCTTTGTCCTCTTTCCTCTTCCAATTCCCTCCCTCTTAAACGCTTTCATATTTCAACTGATAAGCAAAATATTAAGTAGCAGTGCTCGTTGGCCAAATTAACAAAATTGCTAGCACGTAATTCATTTGAACACATAATTCAAACTCAAGTGGTAAATGTATAAGTCCTCGGAACTTGATAACAGTTGTTTGCGGCAAACAATCGAGTAAGGTTAAGGGAATGAGTAAAGCAATTTGCAGCAGTTATCTCATGCTGCATGTCCGTGTTCAAAGAGATGGGGCAAAACAGGGCTGTTTGTCGACCTCATTTCTAGTCTGTAGAACGGCATTTTGAAATGTGCACGGATCCACTAGAGTAAATTCCTCGAAGTGCGTCCTACGTATGGTGCACCGCGGCAGCGCATATAATGTTACACAAGCATTGATCGAGCCAAGGAAGGTAGTTTTTTCATAAGAGCTTGGCAGACAGTGGCATATCGCAATAAAAAATTTTCAAACGAGCTGTAGAATATGTTTCCTCAACAGCGTCTCTTAGGCTACGGGATAACACATCAATGAGTGCAACACTCTTAATTGGTAAGTGCATGAAAAGTTCATCCCTCGGAGCAACGCTCCTAGGTGGCTTGTGTTCATGTACTCCCAGATACTTCCGAAAATTTTGTCAGAGTAACCATTTTCACTAATGGCAGCATTTAATGTTTGCAGTTCCTCATTTACGGTATCTGTTGCGCAGATACAGTGAGCCATGAAGGAATGAGAAGTCAACAAGCTTCTTTTGTACTGCAGACATTTCGCGTTGTAGAAGTTAGCATACCGTCCATTCCATGTGCTTTTCCTATTTATACTTCCGCTGTAAAATCCATTGGCGTTTTGGTTAATGTTTACATCCAACAAGGAAAGCTGTTCTCTAGGCTGGTTCGCCTTAGTAACGAAGATTCGAAACTACACACCTTGCTTTTCCGATTTGCTAAGTACGAAAGTGTCATCGATATATCGTACATATGTTACGACGAAGTTGATATATATCCTTAGTTTTCCATGTCCTAGCTTTGTCAAAAGGTTTTCAGCCAAAATATATCACAAAGGGGATCCTATGGCCACTCCATCCATCTGGAGGTGTATATGGCTATTGAATATGTATTGAATGTTTAAGCTGCATCGAAGTCACCCTGCTTTGAGTAAATGATTAGGAAAAGCCACCGATATGTGCAGTTGTTGAGCCAATTCTCACATATATGCCACCGGTTCAAGTAATGGAACCTTAGTGAGCAGCGACTAGACATCAAACAATATCATCCATTTGGCTGTAAGGTTGAGCTTATTTATCTTCCAAACCAATTCGAAGGAATCTCTCACGAATTAAGTGCAAACCATTTTTCACAACGGCTTAAATTTTGCACCATTCATTGGGCCCGAAAATGTTGTGCATAACGGATCATGGCCAAGACTGGACGCAACGGAGCACATTCATTATAAACTTTCGGACCACCTAAAGAATTGGAGGTTGATAGCCTGAACGGTTTAACCTTTAAAATTCACACATTTTTGTGCTTTGCTTGCCTCATTCGCCTGACACAGCCACTTGTCAACGTTTCTAATTCCCTTGTGTTGACTCTTCCAGATGTTAGCTTTTGATGCTTAAGTTGATATTATTTATCGGCTGCATTTTGCGAATGTAATCAGCCCTGTCCATTAGAAATACACTGGAAACTTGTTCTGTTCACTGCTGAGTCATAACTTTTATGTGACAGGTTCTGTTTCCTGGTGATGATATGGTTGTTGGCAGGTATTTCCCTAGCCTATACGTGGCAGCTATACACAAGATTAGACATCAAATTCTCAACATTACTAGACGAAGTTGGAAACAGGTCTCGCGGTTGGGACTTTAGGCACTCAGACTTTACTTATAAAGTCGCCTTATACGCTTTTCTACTTTGAACACAAAATTGGTGGCCTAACGAATACACTTTAAGCTGTGACAGGCTGAGTGTGACACTAAAGATTTTCTACCTATATATTTCCTTGTTCACAGGGAAGATAATCTGTGGCACCTGATTTCACAAATGCTTTTAGTGTAAACTTCCTCATTTTACTCTATCATCACGCATGCGGAACAAATGTTACTTCAGTTTATAATGTTCGGTTCACTGTCCTTGTTCTTACAGCCCACATCATTTGTGTTGTTAGGTGCTCTCTGATCACATCTAGACAGCAGTTTCTACCGTTTTCCAGTCCGCATTTGATTGCATTGTAATTCTCACACCCTGTTTGACTAATACTACCTGCTGTCTTAGTGCTGCAATTGCACACAACCCTTCGCATTGCTTGACGAACTATGGTGTTTGACGACGCTGCGTATTCAGTTAGTTGCAGCCCATATGTTCCCACTATCCTAAAGGTATGTATGGTCCGCCTGTCATTCATCACAATATCCGGTACATGACAAAAATGTATGTTGCCCAATGGTTGTCTTGGGCTGCGGAGCTGCCCCTTGACTTTTGGCACAATTATTATCAATGAGGTAACTCTTCGTGCCTATGAGTGTCTGTCACATCTTCACTATCGCTTCACTCCAACTCGGCGTCGCATAATTACAGCAATTTCTCAACACTTCCACTTACTTTGGTATGGAAACCTGTCACTCCCAAAGATTAACGCAACAAGCAATTAGGCAACTCGGTGTAAACCTATTTTCGACCACATAAACATCTAGCCGGTGAGTCAGTTTCTCGCTGGTTGCGAAATCCTGGCAAAGTATTTACTCCTGTTATTCAACTGTTGCTTGGTCTCATTTTCTGGCGCTATCACTTGCCGGCTGCTGCTTGACAGTCGGCTTATACCTATATAATTAAGAGACAGGATATATTCACCTGAGTCAACAGACTCATTGTAAAATTTCCGCAATCTTTTCCTTGTACATTCATGCGAAAAAGTTCGTTGAGCACCCTAGTCACTCTTCTGTTTCGGTATGGATACCCTTACATCATGTCACTTCAACTAACACATGCAAACAAATACCCATAACATCTTACTGCATTGGCCGTCGCGCAGTATGAAGAAAGGTTCGCCTATTCTGCTGCATGTAACGTGGTGGGTGAGCAAAAGCTTGCTACCTCCTGCTCCACCATATTTGAGATTCTACTTCCCATCTACATTCGCCTTTTCCAGTCTTCATTTAACCTTATTCAATCTACATGTGCAAACCGAACTCACTGATCGTATGTTTCTGCAGGAAGAGCTAAAGCGTGGATGCTGGATCGCGCATGCCATCCACAAAGGAAAGTTTATTAAGCGCCCAGACGGAAGCACTATACTGGTAGCCGTAAATATATATATAATTATATATATATATATATGCAACTGTCTAAGAATAGACATAGAGCCATCTGAAACCCTTTGACTTAAAATAATGTACAGATATAGTAAAAGAAAAGACAAGGCGATACATTGAGGTCCATGGTTTCGTCAGAAGGCGAATTACTACCCGATTGCTCAAGCCGAAGTAGGGTGTTGACTTAAGGGACATCTCCCCGAACGTTTGGCTGAAAAGCCTGCCCGCAAGGCAGAGGAGCGAATTCAGGGAATCGCTCGCAGTGGGAGCCGGTGACTGAGTGCTCAGTTTATACGACTTTCGTTCGTTCCTTTGTCAAACAGGAGCCGGATGCTCTCTAGAATAACAGCATAAATATGCTAGAATACAACGGTTCACCAGGGTGAAGCAAGGTGGAGTGACTTTAGTTAGTAGAGAGTCACGTCCGCCAAATCACAGTGTTGTTAAACGGACATATGTAGCTTTTTTTGGGGAGAAGGCTTGCCAGGCGAAAACCCACCATGTCCTGGAACATTGCCGCCTGAACCCTTTGCTGGAACGGAAAAGTCCCGAACCACCCAGCTGGCACCACGAGGAGGTTGTTCGGCAAGCCGTGGTAATTTGTACCTAGGATACTGTGAATATGGAACTCAGTGTGGCTCGGTTGGCTGACTAAAGTAAACTCCCTGATGCTAGAGATGCTTACAAGTTCTACTGGATAGGGAAACCTCTACAGCAAAATGAGAACATGGGTAGCATTTCCTTTATCCGAAGGACAAATGAACATCATGTTAGGTGGTGGAAGCCGTTGACTACTCTTGCACCGGTGCGATAACACAAGCTGGCTTGTAGTGAATTAACCACTTGCACAGTGGTTGAGACAAGACACGGCTCTACAAGCGTTACGGATCGAGTCGACAGCGGATCACGGGCGGCAGCTTGTGACGAGCCTAGGACCAGAACAACGGAGGAAGTATTAGTCGAGAACCCAATGAATGAGACAAATACGCCGTTATGGAAGCCTTCAGGAGTGACCGCGGTTCGAATGAGGCAGCCACGGGAGAGCGCATCGGGATCTTTCGAAAGACTCATGGCCGGCCGGAATCGTATGTAGCGAAACCGAGCTACTGGATGGAAAGATGGATGAGTTGTCTCAAAAGCCCTACCTCTAGGTACCAGAATTTACTCATCACAAAATGCACAACTGCGTTGCCTCGTGGCAAGGAAAAACGGTCCAAACCTGTACAGGTTTTTGAGTTGTCAGTAGCAAGTTCGTGTGGCCATGCAGGCTCTTCCTCCCCCGGGGCGTTTTCGCTACCATATAAGGTACTAGCCTATTGGCGTATGTGCAACCTTTTCAGCAAGCATGGTAACATCATTTGTTGTCCTGATGATACAAATTATCCCTTTTACTTTCAATTTTCCTGCAGACAATCGATTAGCCATTTGGTCAGGGCAATTCTCTTGACTAACATTGATCTCAATTTTTCTGACGTAAAACGACGGACCATTTCTACCGGATGACTTCAAGTTGCGGTTTGAACATGATGCCGTGGTGTAGGCCACGTGGTTTTGGCTAAGTCATTAGAAATTTTGTATATCTACTCTCCCAGTCGCCACACACGGACTGAATATCGGTTCTCACTGGTTTGAGTGATGTTGCCATCTGGACACGCTTATC